CTTTATAGGTTGCGCCCTCAGTCCAGTACCCCGACGTCACTCCTCTGAGGCTCCTTCCCCCACGCTCCCTGGCCGAGGCCTGGAGGTCCAGGCCTGCTCCTCCACGGTACCCCGGATTACGTTACCGGCGTCCGCTGCTCTGGGTCATGGGGACAGCCAACGCAGACAGCGTACCGGCGTGCCTTTCCATCCCTCGGCATCGAGTCAAGGCGTGCCTCCTGGCAGGTGTTACGGGTCGAACTGCATCCCTCATACACCCATGTGCTGAGCTCCTCGCCCTGGGATCTAGGACGTGTTCTTAGTTGGGGGTGAGGTCGTTACAGATGTGATCAGTTCAGACGAGGTCACACTCATACGACCGGTGTCCTTGGATTTGGACATGGACACGCAGGCAGGGACGCCATGGAACAGGAAGACAGAGATTGGGGTGAGGTTGCTATGGGCCAGAAGCCCCCAGAAGTTGGGTCAGAGGCGTGGAACAGCCTCGGGAGGCACCCAGTCTGCCGAGACTCCGATTTTGGACTTCCAGCCTCCGGAACGGGGAGACAACCGATTTCTGTGTCTAAAGCACCTTGTCGTGGTGCCTTTAGGAAAGCGGGGGAGTGGGTGTCGATGAAGAGAGTGGAATGTGCCCCGTTAACGGGCGCCCCGGGGTGTGTGGCCCCTCGTCTCATTCGTGGCTGTTGAGTTCGATTCTCTTTAGTTCCGCGTTCCCTTCGCACCGTCTCCTCCTGCCAGGACTGCAGAGGCGCGTGAGTGACAGGGATGAGGCCTGATGCTCGCAATGCTGAGCGCCTCGTTCTGTCTGAGTGTCGCGTAGAGCACACCCTGAGCAGTTCAGGTGAGGAGTCGAGCTTGACAGTGAAGCACCTCACGCTTCCGGCCCCAACCCACGCCAGGAGCATGTTTTGCAGCAGCTCAGCGCCTGCCCCTGGGCTGGGCGGCAGGGGTGCAGCGACATTCGACCCGGGTGTGTGGCCCCTGCACTTGCTCTGGCCTCGGAGCCTGCTCTCAGCTGTTTGTAGCTGCACGTCTGACTTGGGAGCTGGTCTTGGGGATCCCCACAGCAGTTTTGGGAACTGAGACCAGAGAACGAATTTGCACGTGTGGCCCATGCTCCTACCCCAGCCTGTGACGTGTAAGCCTTGACCAACCTGCTGCTTGAAATCCAGGCGTCCTAACAGCTACGGCTCAGGCACCACGAAGCTCGTTTTAACGTGCCTTTTTTGTTTGGCGTGAGTGCCTGGTCCACCTCCCACACATGCACAAGCAAAAGGCAGCTAGGACAGGTCTATTAAAGAGAAAGGGGTGGGAATTAACATTTTTGGAGCACGTGTGGGGTTCTGCGCGGATGCTGGCTCATCACATCTCGGCACCGTGGAGACGCGGTGTCCTATCTCCTCACAGGGAGAAGCTGATGTTTGGAGAAGTTAAATTCCCCGCTCACATTCGTTTGCCTGGTTTAGGGGAGGCCCGGGGTCCAGAACCGCGTCCGTCTGACTTGGAGCCTGTGCTTTTCCTCCTTCCCACCAGGGCGTCACGCAAAGGCCGGGAGGCTGCGTACACCGTGCCCTGAAAAGCAGGCCACGGAAGGCTGCTGCTGCTGGGTGTCAGGCGGAGTGGGCAGTTTCCAGGCAACCAGGGGACAGACTGCCGGTCCCTCTCTGGTAAATGGGTCAAGGCATTCGTCAGAACCGCCCAGGGTAAGCGGCAGGGAGATCACGGGATCAGCGTAATTATGTCTGAAGTCTCCTACCGATCAAGAGCTTGGAAAGTGGGGGCCAAGATGGTGTGGGTTCAGCTGTGAGGGTGTCCGAGGGTGTGGTCAGTGTAGGGACATGAGTGACAATTACTAGAAGCGGGGCGCCAAGGAGATGCCAGATCAGAGTGAGGATGAATCAGCGTCAGGTCTCCAAGCCACATGGGTCTGGGCCTAGGGGTGCATGTGGGTGCGTGTGTGCGTGTTTGCTCACCCAGCTCCTTTTATATTTGGTCGAATCACAAGAGAGGCTGACACGCCCTCTTCCCAACTGTTGATTCACTATGTCTACTCTGTATTTCTTATAAGTTGTCATTTTGGAAAAAAAAAAGGTTGAATATAAAAAATAATATTAGAGGACACTTGGACATCATTGTCAAAGACGTCAAAATGATAAATGTTTCATATTCTAGTGATGGTTTAAACCTCGCTAAGAATTAACGTTTCTCACTTAGTTTCATCCAGCAACTCTTAGAAGCCACCCGCTCCCACCACATCTGTAAAAGAGCTTCATATATAGTACATTCTTCTGAAGGCCGCCAAGCGTCTGGAGGGGATATGTGGAGTCACAGCCAGTCACCTCCGGCCCACATCCAGGAAGCCCCCTCCAGCTCGGCCAGGGAACGTGGGCCTGGACGCGGGCCGCAGTCTGCAGTTGGGTCCGACCCTAATTACTGGTTATGTTCCCTCCTCTCCAGCCCTCCTCCCACCCCGCTCACTATACGGCTAACAAGCGACCACCTTATGGAAACAGTAACAGAAAAAGAATCTGAAAACACAGCTGCGACCGTTACCTGTAAGGGTGGTATGATGGCACACTGGATTTTGTTTGATCGCTTCTCTTTGATTTCGGTAACATATAGAATAAAGGCTGGAACAATACTGAATTTACTGAAGAATGTAATGAAGTAAATTGGAAGAGAAAAGGGAAAAACAGTCGAGAGATAAAAAATAGGAAAATACACCAAAATTATGAATAGAAGTCATTTAAAAGAAGGGAAGTATTCTACAACAGATGAAGAAAGTTTTAATTCCTTTTCACGTTAGACAGTGTGCATGACAATCAGCTAACAGAAATTACTGTACAGGTCGAGGTGACATTAAACCAAGGATAAGCGTCATGAGAAAACCCCGTTTAATGAGCATGATGATGTTAGATACTATTATTTTTCATGACAGGATAAGATACAACTCATCGTGAAGAGAAAGCGAACGGTGCAGATCAAGGAGACGCGCTGAGGCTTTAATACGGCAGAGAAGCCTGCCCGGTCCAGACGCTTAGCAAAGTCCAGGGCGACTGAGGTGAAAGAGGCGAGCGAGATGCCCAGGGCCGGGCGGCCCCGCAGGCCGGCGACTCGGGCTGCGTTTCATCACCGGGTCTATGCAGCTTCCGCCTCTGGGTCAGTGGGCTGTCGTTTTGGCAGAGGGACCTTCAGTAGTAGCCTTGGCTGTGATCAATCATTTTTCAACCATCAGGCTTCCAGGAAACTGTTTTAAAAGGGGTAGTTGAGTATTTTCACGTTACATTGTTAAGGCATCTAAATTTTTGGTGTTTTCCGTCTATAATTTTACTGCTTTTATTCTTTTTTTCATTTTGCACAATATTAAGTATTACGTGACATAATTCTTTCTCTACTAATAAACAAGGTTATCCATTTGCAAACTCTACACTGAGGTCCTGTGAAAGGGAAATTTATAACGTGGGAACAGAAAAATATATTGGAAACCAATGAGAATACTTTCAACCATCATAAAAATTCAGTCACAATTAGCTGATAGTCTTTAACTTTGGGAAAACAGAAGGCGAATTAGAATTAAAGTAGGTATTAAAAATAATTACCAGTAGTTTGTTTTACAAAAGAAGAAAAGAGCCATAAGTGGCTTAATTGCCCAATTAAGCAACTACCAGATTCGTGTTTTGCCAACACTCAAGAGTTCACATTTGAGCTAATCAACACAGCACGTAAATATCCAACATCCCTTGAATATGGCATTTAGTGAGAACAGAGACAGAATTCTATCCATTGTTGGGACTGCGCACAAAATAACCAGGTCAAGGACGAAGGACACATGTGGCTAACTTGCCACACCACCAATAGAATGTTAATAAAACAAACTTTTTAAAGATTCAGAAATAAAACAATTTTAACATGAATGAGACAGTGCTTAAATAATTATCGACCTAATCAAGACTTTTAAAATGATCACTGAAATGCACTAGATTTTTATTTAGTTTACAGAAAGAATCTATAAGTCCAGGTTGCAGAAAGAAAACGTTTACTGCTATTTACACTCATTTTAAAACTCTGCTCTATACAAATTTAATTCTGACGGGTATGAACAATGTTTTCGTAGATCTACTGGACTTCACGCTTTCTCATTGCTGCGCTGACAACGAGCTCACCCGATCACCTTTACACAAAGCTGACCCCCTGAAACCGTTCACACGCAATGTCTGAAAGGACCGTGGACACTGAGTACACGACGTGTCAGCCCGCGACTTCATTTTATAAAGGCTACAGTTATTTATATGGAATATTGTTCTATATGCTACACGCCAATCTATATTTAAGTTCTATAGTTAGGTATTTTATAAGTTTTTTATTAAATATATTCTACACATATTTGTAATTTCATCCAGGAAGAATTTCTTCCCAGTGAAAAAATATAAAATCTTTTATATTTTTACAGATTTAGGTGAAACTAGCTCATGCTTTAGTGCTGTGCAAATTGTTTTTAGCATATCAATTTTTAAATTATTGGTACAAAACAGAAAAATGGCATCCTGAATTATGTACGCCTTAAAAATCAGCTTTTGGTTTTAATACAATTGCAAGCACTGATACCAAATGCAAACTACGTAAAGAAACAAATTAGTTACTATGGAGAATTTTTTAATCTGAAGAATTCATCTGAACGCTCTGATGGGTGAGACACTGGACAGTTACAGAGGAGAGTAATTACGAAAAAATTCCAACTGCTGATATTCGATACGTAAAAGTGAACAGTGAATGAGGTGTTCTGAGTTCTGCACGACGACGGCGGTGTGCGGGCGACGGGACCCCCCACGTTAAGGCTAGGAAACACACTCGGCCCTTCCGTGCTGCGCGGGCACGCGCGGTCACATCTGTTGCGGGTGCGTGACAGGAAAAGCCATCCGCTCGGCTCTGTGCCAGGGGCTCTCGATGGGCACGCTCGCTGCTCCACCGGCTGCAGGGACGCCCGCCGCCCTGGTTAGTGTCCTGTGCCAGCGCAGCCGCCGCGGCTGACTTTGGTAGAATTCACCCAACATTTTAGTTTCTTTTCCATTTTTTCCTTTCCAGTTGGCCCAGTAATTAACTTCATTAATTGCTGAGTGTTTTCCAGTGTGGAATTGTATATACGAGTATTTCTAGGTACCATAAACTATGCTAAAAATTCTGCTGATGAAGAAAATAACGTCAAACTTTTTTAGTGCAAACTGTACTTGGAACGCTTGATTTGTTAGTCTGGTGATGATTTTTGTGGCGGCAAAATGATTTCTGCTATCAAAGGTGCAACGTGTTAACTTTCCCCATGGAGACTGACTGCACTCAAAACCCAACATTTCAAAACTGCTTAACAGAAACAAAAATACTAGAAATAAAAAGTCATAGTGAAAAATGTTCTTGGTTCTTTTTACTTTCGTGAGAAAAGACGACAGTGGTCACAGGGTCGTGATGCGGTCCGTGGCTTTGCAGGCAGACTCCGCGGTCCCCGACGCGGCGTGGGTCCCCTCTGTCCTGGCAGCACAGAGACACAGGCCACGGCACAGCACACTCGGCGGGCGGCGCTCACAGGATCACACAGCAGTTACTCTCCCCCGTCTTCTCCCGGTTCCTCTGACCTAGGGAAGAGGAGGACAAGCCTTGTCCATGGAGACGCCCCGCCTGGCCGGGGCAGGAGCCCCGAGCACACTGACGAATGGGCTTCGTCAATGTTTCCGTTTTTAAGTTAAAGAGCTGTAACGAATGCTCTTTAAGTTTTAGTGTGTTTCCAAAAATGTCTCATCGTTTGCTTAACGAGCTCTATTCATAAACGATGAAAACTTCCCTTCCCCTAGAAAGTCCAAGGAAAACTGGCCGTTTCTGACGGCCTGTGTCTGGGGCTCACGGCTCACCTTGAGAGTTTGGCTCCGGCAGCGTCTCCCTGGCCACCAAATGCATCACCGTTGTTTTACCAAAAGGAAGTTTTAATGCTGTGTGAAGAGTATAAGACAACTTGTTATATATACACATCAACCTACAGAAATCACCAACTGGAACTAAAACCATTTAAAAAACTGACTGCTTTTTATATGACTTCCTCAACAGCTTGAATTTCTTACAATTAAGACATTCCAGCTATGGCCGTTAGCTTGATACATATACCATATTGTTTAAGGAAAAAGGAGAAAATGCATGATTGGTTAATGTTGGAAATAACCTTTAGAGGAGAAATAAATTTAAAAAAATTCTTTTTCTAGATATAGGGAAAAGTTTAGATTGAGAAACATTTGTTTCTCAATCTAACTGTATGTTAATCACCTAATAAAATTACTGCACCAAAGAGGCCACTACGATATAGAAATAGAAATGACAAATTTAGTTTTAAACATTTAATCTCAACTTTGTATTCCTCAGTTAGAAAATAATTTTCTTTATAAGGTGACTTTAAAAGAATCACCGTCTTGGCGTGAGTAACAATTACTGTGTTCTAGTCAAGTCTTTTAAAGGTTTTCTCATTCATAAGCAACAAATATGAATATGAACTCTTTCGGACATACAGAGAACAATGTGACACACACCTATGTAGCCAAGAACCACTAAAGCAAACATAAATATCGAGTTTCGTGGTGAGTTCCTTTGTTATTCTGTGTATAAAATCAGAGAAGCCAATACGTCTAACTTCTGGAGTTATTTCTGTCATCGCGATGTTTGAGTCCACCCCAAGCACCTGCTCTTCACCGATCACAAACTGCGGGCCGGCTGTGGCCACTACTTGGCCATCACGAACCTCTCACTTCCTGCTTTTTAAACCTTGCTCTGTTGGATGAGGGGTTAAGATGCGTGTTAAAAAAAAGGGTTCTGATTACTTAACTGATGTTTTTGGAGCATTTCAAATACACATATTTTTCAAGCATACATTAAACAATACCCAAGAAAGGCCGCAAAACAAATCTCAATAAATTTAAGACTGATATCCTATCAAGTGTCTTCTCTGATCACGACGGTATGAAACTAAAAATCAATCACAAGAATAAAACTGAAAAACATACAAATACACGGACACTAAATAACATGCTACTAAACATAATGGGTTAACAACGAGATCAAAGAAGAAAAAGATACTTTGAAACAAATGAAAAGGAAAATGCGACGACCCCAAATCTATGGGGAAGAACACAAGAATGCAAGACAGAAATGCATGGCGATACCGGCCTACCTCGAGAAACAAGAAAGAGCCCAAATAAACAACCTAACCTGACACTTAAGTGAACTGAAAAAGAACATCAAATAAAACCCAGAGTGAGTAGAAGAAAATAATAAAGATCAAAGTGGAAATAAACAAAAGTTTTAAAAAAATAAAAAATCAATGAAACCAAGAGCTGGTTCTTAAAAAAGATAAACAAAATTGATAAGCCTTTAACCAGACTCATCAAGAAAAAAAAAAAAGGGGACCCAAATAAAGAAGTCAGAGATTAAAGAGAGAAGTGACCATGGACACCACAGAAATACAAAGGATTATAAGAAAATACTCCAAACAATTATATGCACACAAACTAGACAACGTGGAAGAAATGAATAAATTCCTAGAAACATACGATCTTCCAAGACTGAACCAAGGAAAAACAGAATTTCTGAATATATCGATTAGTACAAATAAAATAAAATAAAATAAAATCAGTGATTAAAAAACTCCCAACAAATAAAAGTCCTGGACTGGATAGCTTCATAGGTGAATTTTAGCAAATATTCAAAAAATTAACATCTATTCTTCTCAAACTATTCTAAAAATTTCAAGAGGAGGGAGGGCTCCTAAGTTCATTTTACGAGGCCACATCACCCTGACACCAAAACCAGACAAAGACATTACCAAAACAAAATATTAGGCCAATATCCCTGATGAACACAGATGTAAAAAGCCTCAACAAAATATCAGCAAATTGAATTCAGCAATACATTAAAAAAATCTTGGGATGCAAGGTTGGTTCAATACCCACAAATCAATTAACGTGATACACCACACTGACAAATGGAAAGATAAAAACCATATGATATCAACAGATGCAGAAAAGGCGTTCAATAATATGCAGCATCTATTTATGATAAAAACTCTCAGCAAAGTGGGAATAGAGGGAACATACCTCAACATAATAAAGGCCATATATGACAAACCCACAGCTAACATCATACTCAATGCGGAAAAGATAAAAGCGTTTTCCTGAAGATCAGGAACAAGACAGGATGCCCATTTTTACCACTTCTATTCAACATAATATTGGAAGTCTTAGCCACAGCAACCGGACAAGAAAGAAAAGGCATCCAAATTGGAAAGGAAGAAGTAAAACTATCGTATTTGCAGATGACATGATCCTATACATAGAGAACCCTAAAGATTCCACTAAAAACTATGAGAACTGACAAACTCTGTAAAGTAGCAGGAAACAAAACCATTATCAGTTACGCTTTTATACATCAATAGCGAACTATCAGAAAGAGGAGTTAAAACAATCTGATTTATAACTGCATCAAAAAAACCAAACCAAAACCAAAACCACAACAAAACAAAACACCTAGGAATAAATTTAACCAAGGAAGTATAAGACCTGTACTTGGAAAATTGTTAAGACCCTGAAAAAAGAAATCGAAGGACACATATTGATGAAAGCACATTCTGTGCTCACGGGGAGGAAGAATCAACATAGTTAAAATGGCCATACTACCCAAGGCAATCTACAGATTCAACGCAATCTCTATCAAAATACCAATGGCGTTTTTCACAGAACTAGAACAAATAATGCTAAAATTTATATGGAACTATAATAAAAGACTCTGAATAGCCATGGCTATTTTGAGAAAGAACAACAAAGTTGGAGGTTTCACGCTACCTGATATCAAACTACACTACAAGGCTATAGTAATCAAAACAGCATGGTACTGGCAAAAAACCAGACATGCAGATCAATGGAACAGAAGAGCCCAAAAAGAAACCCACACCTACCTGGTCATTTAGTCTACGACAACGGAGGCGTGACTATACAATGGGGTAAAGACGTCTATTCGATAAATGGTGTTGGGAAAACGGGACAGATACATGCAAAAAAAACCTAGACCACTTTCGTAAACAAGAATGAACTCAAAATGTTTAGATTAAAGACTTAAATGTCAGACCCCCAAACCATAAAACTCCTAGGAGAAAAAACAGGCAGTAAACTCTCTGACATTACTCTTCGTAATTTTTTTTTTTTTGATATATCTCCTTGGGCAAGGGTAACAACAACAAAAAATGAACAAGTGGGACTGCATCAAACTAAAAAGATTTTGCGCAGCAAAAGAAACCATCAACAAAATGAAAAAGCGATCAGTAGTAGATTGAAATTCTGTGTAACTAAAGGATTATGCCTCGAAAAAAGGGATTTGATTTAGGGCTATATTTTAAGAAACTTGATAACCCCAAATTTTAATCTGAAACTTACTGAACTGTAAAATCTCAAGAGCAGGAGGGAACGCCCAGGTCCCATCGGGTTTAACATCTACATAGCAGCGGACCCCCCCCGCGGCTGTACCCCTGCTTCGTATTCTCCTGCTCACGCCACTGTCTCACACGTGGCCGTTTTTTCTTTACGCAGCTTCACCTGCTCAAACTGTCTTCCATGTATTGACTAGAACTCTGCCTGCCTTTGACTTCCGGCTGTTGGCCCTAAGTCTCATTCACAGGGCGACAGAGCAAGCCCCGAGCCAGGCAAAGCCAGCCCGAGTCTTCCCCACGCTGGCCCCGTGAATAGCCAGAGACAGCTATTATGACCTTGCGTGCTCTCTCCTGCATTAGCCATGATCCAGAGCAAAGGGAGGCTAAAAAGAAAACTGTGACCAAAAAACCGAAGAGCTGAACCCTTTATCGACCTTTGTCAAACACCCAGACATACGCAGGCTATGCTCCTAAGCCGTTTGCCTAAATGGCCAAGGCCAGAGGTGGTTTTCCTTCCGAAAAGACTGACAGCACCACAGAATAGCAAAGATGAATAGAAGTCAATCTGGTAATTATTCAAGACAATTTTTAAAAAACTGGTAAAAATTTGTACTTTAATGGGAATGAATCGATAGTTCGATTTTAACACAAATGCCACCGTATTTAACACAAAGGGGAACTCTGGGGCCATGACAGAGAGAGAAAAAATTCAGTTCATGGGAAACTGCTCACGTGGAGCAGTACTCAAAGAGAAGAGGAGCCTCGAGAGTCATCGCGCAGTCAATGGGCTACATTCGCTCGGTCACCCACCAACAGCACAAGAGCTTCCGTGAGGCACACGCGCTCAAAAACAGACCCAAACGTGGCCCCGTCCTTCACGAGTGCGACGCAGCCAGGCGCTAGGGCAGTTACCCACTGCCGCTGGACTGGGTTATGCGTGGGATCCTGCCCGCTTCGGGTTCTGCCCACTGCACCAGTACTGCCGTGCTGGGCATCTGTGTTCAGCCCCCGCGGCGCTGCCCACACAGCGCTTCCACAATGGACGCTGTTTCCACCGTGTCGCCCAATACTAGAGCACCCAGGAGGGCGAGTCCACCGTGCTCAACCTGATCTCCCACTGTTTAGCACGGGAGTTGGCATGAAAGGAGAATGAATGAATGAATGAATGAATGAATGGATGGATGGAATACAAGCAAAGTCAGACTTTACTTAAACAAAGATAAATTAAAGTAGACCACGTCAATTGCCTACAAATTTCTAATTATCAGAACAGTTTTGAAACACGTTGAAAACGAACCTGCTGATGTAGATGTGGCCACAGGGGGGCACTGCTGAGCTGCGTGTCTCCAATCACGTAAGGAGCCGTGACAGCTAAGAGTGTTACTCTGTGCCAAGCACTGTTCTAAAGGCCTTGAACGCGTAAACAAACGCATCTGACCCTCCCAACCTCAGCGGGAGGCGCTACTGCCGTTTCCTCACCATTTTTTTTTTCTTTTTTTGATGAGGAAACTGGGACGACTTGCCCGAGGCCACACGCCCATGAGCAGTGAGCTAGGATGCCACTTAGCCAGCCCTGGGCTCAAACGTGCTGCTTCAGTCACTGCACGACCCTGTCTCTCTAGTGTCACCCAGTCACCTGAATTCCTGCACAAGCGCAATGATATCAGTTAAGCCAAGCTGAAAACACTTCCTCATTATTATATCTGAAAACTCATTCGCATAAATGTTTCCTAGTTTGTGTGTCTGGCTTTAACTTTAAAACATGACATCTAAATTATATTATCCAGAAATAAATGAAATTACATCTATAAAATAATGGGTATGGACCCCTACCTGTAATGAAATCGTTAATTTCACAAGGCAGTAAACACTTCACGATGATTAAATTAAATTTAACGGAATGTAAAATAGACTTCAAAAAGCAGGCAGAATTCATACTGAGGTTGAAGTTATAACTTTTTAGTAAAATCAGACATGAGCATGTAAACAAATGGATAATGCAACCATGAGACATTCAATCCCATTACAAAGGCGACTGTTACCTCCTAATGTGACATTTCCATGTAGAAACCGTCCTTGATAAATAAGGCGTAGAATGTTTGGACTGCTGACCTGTTCTTCTTCCCAGTCTGAAAAGAACCAGTGAACTCGTTACGTGTATTTCAACACAAAATTAAGCATTACTGCATTGTTCTAAAAGTTGATCCAAATTACAGTGAAGTCGGCCCTGGGGAGCTTCCTCATAAGTGAGCCAGTCGCCACTCACGTGACCTCTGCAGCCTTGGCTCCTGCTGGTTCTTCTCATCGAATAGTGAGAGCTGCAGAAAGACTAGTTTGTGCTTTTTAAGACTAAAAAATGTGCCACACTAGAGTATTGAAGTTTAAAACTTAAAACAAACGCACTGGGAGAAATCTAATCCTAGGTAAAGAGAAATGTCATTTGAAAATTAATTTCAATTACCAGTAATTAATAAAGAATATTACAATGTTCTAATATTTGTACCAGTTAAAAGTATATTTCAGGCTAGAAACAAAACATTTAACGATGATTTTAAAAAAAATTAATATGCTGATATAGAAAAAAAAAATTATACCTCAATAAAACTGGAAAACGAAAATTTGAAAAATAGAATAACAAAAATTTACTTTTGGACAATGGTGATTAATACGTTGTCTTCACGAAGCCAATGGTAAACATTACAGAAGACACAACTTTAATTTGCTTAACCCAAAACACTCAGAAAAACTTGAAACCACGTATATTAGAAGATGCTACACTATACAAATCCGGGAGCTGGGAAGGTGCCCAGAGAAAATCAGAGGACAAACCGGTGGGAGGATGGGTGACAGAAGAGGTCACGCTGGGGCGTGACCTGCAGGGAAACAGGCGCCACTGCTGTTAGAATAACGGGACAGGGCACGGGGTCCGTCCTTTTCACCGGCCTGCAGACGGAGTGCCCTTGGCTTCTCCGAACCTCCTTCTCCCCTACAGCCTTTAGCTTCAGTCCGCCCGATTCGGACCAGCACTGACCTGTCCCTTGGCTACGAATGGGAAGAACGGTCTAGTTATTTTTAAGTACTTGCCTAAATCAGTGTTTCTTAAACTCAGGTCTACGAATCTACGAAGACATGTTCTTAGGGTCTAAACGTCCTCTTTTAAGAATTTTTAAATTGTGTTTTCATTTTCAGGATAATCTGGAAGGGATTATCTAGATAATTCCAACAATCGCTTTATAACCCAGAACGGCCTTGGGATTTCGGTGCCCATGGATGCGTTGGAGCTTATGACTGCGCTGGCGCCAAGCAGGACTTCTTTACTTGTCGAGAGGCTGACAAGGGAAGAACAGAGGTTGACTTACTACATAAATAAGTCATTCTTGCAGAGTGCAGGCTGAATGACGGTTTGGGACACTGTGTGAATGAAGGTTTTGTGGTGAGTCTGCAGATGACGACGGGTCCTCAAACAGCAAACGAGAGCACAGGCAGCCAGCCCAGCGGCACCACGGTCACGGTGCACGTTGTGAGGTAAGGTTTCAGTGAAAACATATCATCTGGCACGTTAATGTTGTGAATCTGAACAGTTTTGGTTTTAGAGTTAAGTTTATATTTTCCTTGTAGATCTGTTTTTAGGTTTATGGTTGTATATGAGTTAATAAAAAGTTTTACGTTTCCATCTTTAAAAACAAACATTATGATAAAAAAATTTTAAGTCAGCACTAGAGAATCTGCAAGAATGTTATATTCTTCCTCTGAAAGAGTTCCGCATGTTATTTAAGCTTGAGGAACACTGATCTGATTTATCTTGTACACATTGTGTTCTTTGTTGAAACAAGTCTTATCCCTTAAAAGTCCAAACTGCTTTGGCTAGCACAATCACTATGGTACATGCCATAAAAAGGGACAAGATGATGTGGGGAAAGTTCGAAGGAAGAACGTAAGCTAAAGACTCACTTTAGGATGGCAAGACCCAGTCTCAATACATAGAAAAGAACCAGAGAAAAGAAGGAATAAATCCCAGCCCAAAATATTGGTGTCATGGACACTGGCTGACAAATGCAAAGCAAAAATGGATTTTATGCCACTTTGACCTTGTAGTAGTGCAGAGAACCACATGAAATGATGTGAATTAGAAGTTAACGTTGTGTCAAACTCAATTTTAAATAGGCTATCTATAAATAAGACCAGAGAGAATGTATTATAATTTATTAAAGGTGGTTTTTCTTTCCTTTTACTTTGTGTCTTGGTATAAATAGGTTTACTGACATGAAAATGTGTGTTAGCTTCACCGTGTTTTTCTTTTAAAAAATATTTTCATTTACATTAAGCAGTTCTAAGGCAAAAACCGGGACCGCGACCAGATCTGGGGAAGGGGACAGTGACCTCATCACCTCTGAGCCTCATACCCTCAAATCAAGTGTTTTTTTGTATCTTACATACTTATCACCTTTACAAAATGTCTGTGAAACAACACAGGGCATAAAGAAGTCACGTTATTCATTCTCAAGAGAAAAACAGCACTCACCCATTGGCCAGTTGTCATACACGTGCTTTGCGATGTCTGAGGCAGAATCATTAGGAGAAAACAGGAACTCTTTTGTCTTCCCGCTTACCAAGATGAGGCGCAGATTTATCTGAAAGGAGACAAAGATTCTTTTAATATAAAGCTTGACATTTTTAAAGTAAAAAATGACTCAGTTTTTCATTCCAATCATTCTAAATTACTAACACCATTTTCTCATTTTTATTTAAATTCTGTAAAGATTTTTTTAAAGTATGGGAGTCTGATATACGATTTTAGTTCTAATATTTAATATACATGAGGGAGAAGCAGATATATTTGTCATCATAAATAAAAAAAGAAAGACCAAAATTCATTATTCTTTTAAATTTAACTACTCCGACAATGTTCAGAATTGGACTCTACTGGTCATCACCGTTACTACAGGCTACATATTTCCCCTTGAAAAACTAATGAAGTGCTGACCTTGCAGATCATCAAACAGAAAAATAATTAGCTGATAATCTACTTCTTAAAAAAAAAATGAAGAGAAAACAAATTATATACAACTTTTTTATCCTATAAAAATTATTCAAACTAAACATATTAACCAGAAACTATAATTTTAGAGAACTTTATTACGGTTAACGGAGGAATCAAATTGTAGCTGCTTTAACTAAGTATGATCACGAATTTTCCTAGGAAAGGAGGCAGAGCTATGTGTGACAAAGAACATGGATTCCCTCTCAGTAAAAAAACTAAGGTGAATAACAGAATTAAAATTTTTGAGACACTGGATTTACACTTCCAAGTCAATATGTATTTGCTTATATACCATTCTTATCACATTTTCCAAAAATGTTCCTTTTAATATTTATCTTTATCCATAATTAACTTGATATTATTCCTTTTAACCACCACATCCATTCATTTCCCTGTAAGTTATGGAAGTACAAGCAAGGTCTTCTATACTCTGGGCCTCTGTTAAGAGAGCAAATAAGACCTTCCGAAAAGTCGGGTCCAGTCCAGAGCTGAGCCCTGGGACTCATCTAGCTTCTTTACATATAAAAATAGAGGATGTCACTGTACCAGTTTGCACTGTGCCAGGTCTCAGGTTGTCCAAGCGCTCACCTTCCGTTACCAATACTTTTCTTCTTATAAAAAATATTTAAGATGACAAAGTCTACAATGAATACATTGGTGCCTGCTGCAGCACCGTCAACATACCCGGTCACCGATTTACTGTCTACTGCCACCATGGCCAATGTCAAACTGTCAGTACCTCGAGACTTTGAAAAGGCGTTGAAAGTTATAAAATATCTCCTCTAGAAAAATGCTACACACAATTCTGCATTCAATGGGATGTGACCATATTCCACATTAGAAACTGTGTTCTAACTGTAGTGTACATTCTATCTCATTAAAAAAGTTTTTTAGAAGTTAAAAACATAGAAATCTATATTCCAGGTGAAAAGCTCTTTCAATATGTCCAACAAGAACATCTGGTTGCCCTTCCTAACAAGAATGAAATTAGATTAAGAGCTTATTAATACAGGAAGCAAGCTGATGAAACCACACTGCTGTAAAGAAGTGGTACCATCCAGAAACTCTGTAAGTTCAAGTAGTGGTTTGCCGGAATGACTAAACTGTACGAAGGCACCACCTTGCTTATTTCCTGTAACAGACAAGTAATGAGTGATTCTTAAAGCAAGGAGCCCAGCGTCTACACAACACAACGCGAACTTCAGTTCTCACAGGTATAGCTTTACCTGGGCTGCCTCTTTACATGTGAATACTGACACATAGATATTATGCTCTGAACTTACTCGAAATCTTCTAATGGCTTCAAGCTACTGTATCAGGGCCCTTCAGTCATTAATGCCCAAGAAATTATGACCCTTCTAACAGTTCAGCCACATGTCTGTTTAAGTAAATAAGTAAAACTAAATTCAAGCTAAGAGTTATGTAAATGATATGAACCTAATATTTCTTGAAATGATCTTTTAAGTTCAAAATTAACTTCTATCGGGCTTTTATTCAAATTATATTTAAAAATAACAAAGGAAAAAAGAGAATCGAATTCTTACAATGTGTAATGGCGACATCAAAGCATATTTTAGATTTTCTCTAACATCAATATGGAAAAGAAAAAATAAATGATCGCACATCATTACAATGGAAGAAGTGGCACAGCTGTTAAACGACTTAAGATCTGGATCTACATTATCTGACATGGAAAGATGTCCACAATACGTTAAACGAAACATATACACTCCACCCCATAAATACGTAACGCTAACAGGGTTCATCTGGCAAAGTTCTCAGTATTCCTGATTTTAAAACTGATACACATCACTGTCACTGATAAACTGACATTTCACTTTCATATTTCAAAATCATGTCCTAAAGAATCTGTTTATCTAGATGTTCAGAATGTTGGACACGTTGGTGCTCCAGATGTGTTTGACACAGGTTTTAAAATATTTTTTAAAATGCTTACTGGTGGGCAACAACTTTTCAGTTTGACACAGACCCTACTAGTCTCTACGAACTCACAGTGGCCTGCTTCATACATTCATGATGCCTCCCTGGCCCCAGAAAACACCTGAGTTCATAACTCACGGTAGAGTTCAAAGTGGTTTGGGCTACGAAATGAGAACAGGAAGCAGGGCGAGATTTTAAAATCTACTCAGAGGGACTCTCATCACTCCTCTGGAGAAACAGGACAGCTGCAAGAGTCCACGAACACGTAAATCTAAGAACTTACCAAATCTCACATCTGAAACTACCTAAAATCGACAATGACAGATACAGACTGCTCCAGGAAAGACGATTAGGCCCGAAATTTAAAACAGCAGTAAGAAACCCACTAAGTTAAGCTGCTGAGCAGTCACACATTGCCCGACACACTTCCAGAGCCTGGCGCAGAGGCTGGCGCACAGCAGGTGTTCGACTAATTAGTTCTTGACTAATATTTCAGTCTCTGTGGTTCCAAGATGCTGGCGGAACCGCAGACCAGAATGGCCAGCACTAAGACTGGACTCCCGCTCGGGCGCTCCGGGTGCTCCAGCCAGCGGCTAGTTCATCACGTGGTGCGGGGACAACGGTACTTTTTGGTGGTGACATGGAGATGCGGGCGGTCCCAAAGTGTAAACACCTCGATGCTGAGTTTGTCAGGCTCTGGATCCTCACTGCTGACAGCAAGCCACTGTCCGTAAGTGCTTCTGCTTAGGAAGGTATTCTGAAAAGTAAAATTCTTCTGCGCTACCATATTAACATGTCTACTGTGTCTAGTTTTCAAATGAGCATCAAGACGGGTTGCTGACGCGGAGGATCGACACGGCGTCTGGACTTGTTCCTGTGCTGACGCCTCGCGGCCACTCCGCTGTGACATTAGAAGCACGAGTCCGCCACAGGGGGCAGTCAAGTGTATCGCTAAGTGAAAAGCTTTCACGCTGAAAGCTTTTCTGAAAGAAAGGGTTTGGCTCGGCAAAAGAAGAAGAACGGGACCTGGGCGTGCGGTCTGGGCCACCGGCAGCAGCTGCACAGAGAGGGACGTCGCGGCCTGACGTGCAGAGTCCCGGGAAGAAAGCGAAAGCTGTTTTGAAGCTGCGGACAAAGGCGGTGGGACAGGCGAGGCGGGGCCCGCTCTGGGACAGGTGCAGGCCCCTGAGGGAGAAGGCTCAGCTCCACTGAATGGCGGAGGTGACCGCTGGAAGGCTCACGCTTAAGCAGGACGCGGCGGCACCTTCTGGCCGGCTGGCTACTCTCCGGGGACTGCAGAAACGACCCCTGGAGGGGAATTCAGGGTTCCGGCGCCACTCAGAACCAGATGCGCTGCACAGCCTCTGCTGGGCCGGCTGCTAACTCAACTTCGCCTCTTCCTTCCACCCTCCCGCTGGCCGTGGCTTAATTTAGAACGTCCCAGAATCGTTTGCTGGTCAGTACTGTCGGACTGTAGTACCAACGGAGGAAAACACTGAAGTCCCATCATCCCCTTTAGAAGAAATCTTGAAAGCACTCACCAAGATAAACATCTGGGTGCACGAGCTGGTCAGCAGTTAACTGTTCCTATAACATAGTGAGACTCTCCTCAGGGCTATTCAGATAAATAATGCCAATTATAGCTCCTCTCGGTAAGTGTATGGCAATCCCTACAAATGTTAGCTAGTTTCCTTTAAAAGATTATGTACCATTTATTTAAATATTTATTAATGAAACACCTTTTTACTTCTTTGAAGCCAAGCTAAGTCAATCTATAAAATACCTTCAAAGCGAGGGAGTGGGATTCTCGACATAGCAATAATGAGTTAAAAACAAGACTCCTATTGACAGCTTAAAATATGCTATACCACATGTACATAACTTGCCTAAAGATAAAACTATCATCCAGGGTATCCGGATGACTCAATGGACATGGAGCTCACATTATGTAATAAAACTCCCAAGAGATGGAATTTAGATCAGCCAAATGAATTCCACATTTTATAATTCCTTTTGAGGCAAAACAAATCAAAACAAGACTGCTGGTTAGGTAGAACTATCATGATCACTTCCTGTAAGGCTGGCGGAAACAACAGGAACTCTGCCATGCATGGCGTTTCAAGTTTTAAAAAAAAGTTTTCAGGCAATAGACACTTATATTTGTTAGGCTGCATGAATTTGGAGAAATCTCATCTGGAACTTAATTCAATAACAATTTGCTATCGATCGGTCAGGAAAGAAAAAATTATAGAGGAAGAAAAGGGGGAGAATGAAAGATGGACTTAGCTGGAATGGGCTCTGGACATGAACTAGGCACCCGGGGAGCTGGACCGCGCGCCCTTTAGAAGAAATCCGCTGTTTCCTACCAAGAGATCGGCATGTTGATCGCAGAAGAAAATCTGACTTCTCGAGGTCTCCGAGGCAGAGAGAGCCCAGGGCTTGCTTCGTGGGGGGTGGGGGCAGGGGGAGCTGCTCTGCACCCAGTGCTCATTCCTGCCTTTCTGGCCAAAGCGCGAGTGAGCAGCCCGGTAGGAAAGGCATTGGGCTCTTCAAATCGCTTTTAAAAAGCTCACCATTTATCTCCAGGTAATTATACTGAGTAAAAAAAAGCCAATCCCCAAAAGTTACACACTGTATGATTCCATTTAT